CTTACAGTTCCATAAAATTTGCATGATTCCCCCCCTTGCTTCCAAGCCTCTTCCATTAACAAGCTCTTTGCATTATTCTCTTCCTTAGCTTAAATATTAATTTCCCAGGGAGATCTTCTAGCAATATTCATTGTAGCTTAACATAATTAGGGTCTGTATTCTCTGGTCAAATAGTAATCCTATATGAGTAGAAACCACATCAAATTTGTTTTATAGCCTAAAAGTCTAGAATATATTAAGTGCTCAATAAATATCTGTTCAATGAAGGGCTATAGCACTGTAATTTGCTAAAGTGAGCATATAAAAATGTTGAATGAATGGGTGAATGATTTTAAGATGTGGCATTAGCATTGAATTAAGCCAGGAGAAGACTACTGGTGATCTAATAGAAAGTAGTGTCCATAGAGTAATAAAGAAGGAATCTAGGCTTTAGTAGATAAAGTAGGAAAGGGCAGTGAGGAAATGAAGGCATTAAGATTTTAAATCACTTTTTTTTTGTTCATTGAGGCATTTTATTTGTATGCTTTACATCCCTAGAAAAAGAACCCCAGGATTTTCCCTCTTGTATATTTTCATCTTGCTTCTTCATGGTCCATGATGCCAGCTGAGGGTGTCAATACAATGAAACCAAACTGACAAGACAGAAGCAGATTATTCTGCCATTTTTCTAGAACTTTGAGTTGCACATCAAATATGGGGCTGATCACTTCACACTTGTTCAACCTGCGTGTGAGATTCACCACAATCTTCCCAGGTCTGAGATCGTCAATGATCTCAAATTCACCAATATAACCATGCTTCATCATCACCGTCAGAAAGCAGACAATGACTTTGGAGCATGGCTTAATGAGGACCTGGCATTTGCCTCTCTTCTCAGCATTTTTGATGCTCTTGAGAGCATCAGCCAGGATGTTCATGTGCCATGATTGTGGCACGGAAAGATGGTAGAAAGAGCTTTAAATCACTTTTGAGAAATTCAACTAGGAAAGAAAAAAGAGAAGTAAAATAGCAACTGAAAGTCTATTGCAGAATCAAGTGAAAGGTTCTGCTTCAAAAGTTGAATAGGAAGATAGGGTGCTTTTGGCTACAAGTGACAGAAAAGCCTACTCAAGTAAGATTAAAAAATACATGGAATTGGGGGTATTGCTTAGCATGTGTAAGGTCCTAGGTTCAACCATTGAATTATTGGCTCATGAAGCTAAAAAGTACAGAGTGAGGCCAGCTTTCTTTCTTTCCCTGTTTATCCTCTCCATTTATTAAGTTTCTGTTGATTTTCTTGTTGAGGCTAACTTTAAACATGGTTGAATCCAGAGAGTCAAGTTGTCACCAGGGTTCTACTTTTTCACGTCTATAACTTCTCAACCCTGGCTTTCTTCTGTGTTGGTTTTAATCTCCAAGTTGGATTCCATTGTGGTATCAAAGAATGGCGCCGGGTGCCGATTGCTCACATCTGTAATCCTTGCTTCTCAGAAGGCATAGATCAGGAGGATCTCGGTTCAAGGCCAACCTAGGCAAATAGTTTGAGACCCTGTCTCAAAAAAACCTATCACATAAAAGGGCTGGTGGAGTGGCTCAAGGTGTAGACCCTGAGTTCAAGCCCCAGTATGGCAAAAAAAAAAAAAAATTCATTCAGCTGCTGGGTGCCAGTGGCTCACACTATAATCCTAGCTACTTGGGAAGCTGAGATTGGGAGCATTGTAGTTCTAGACTAACTGGGACAAATAGTTTGTGAGACCTCATCTCTAAAATGACCAGAGCAAAAATGGACAGGAAGAGTGGCTCAAGTGGTAGAGCACCTGTTTTGCAAGTGTAAGGTCCTGAGTTTAAACTCTGTCCCACTTCACCCCCCAAAAAAGTTGGTTCAGCAAATCCAGACCTTACATATCATCTCTCTTTCATTCCAAAAGAAAAAAGAACATTTATATATTAGTCAGGACTCTTATTTGTGAGCATCAGAAATGGAGTCTCCCTTATTTGACAGAAAAGATATTTATTGGAAAGAAATCAGGTGTATCTCAGAAGGAGAATTAGTCTTCTAAATAGGCAGAAACCAAGACAAGCCAGCTATCAGAAACCATAGCCAAGGTCAGTACAGGAAATCTGGTTAGGGCAATGATGGCAGTAGACATTGTCACCACTGGACACTACTATGGCTGAGCACTGCAGCTACTGTCATTGGATACTGCTGCCTCTGCCATGCCTGAATTATAAATTGTGTCATCTTTGTGTCACTTAATATTCCAGCCTCTGTCTAGAGCATTTGACTGGAGAGGGCCCAGTCACGCACCATCACCTTAGCTGCCAAGGTGTGGAAGAGGGAATATTTGGTTTCTCTAGGTTTCTGGAGTGGGAATGAGGTTTTGTCTCCCACAGTTTCATATAAAGGTAGATTTCCCCAATAGGAAAGATGTTTGGATGTTGGGCAGACAAAACACGATAAACATCCACTTTTTGGCCTTGACTCCAGTCCAGCTATATGCTATTTTTAAAAAGACTCATTTATAATTTAAAGACTTGGAAATAAAAGAGATAGAAAAAGGTATACTAGGTAAATGCTAAACAAAAGAAAACTGAGGAGCTGTATTAATATTATATAAAACAAGCCTTAAGATAAAAAGCATTATCAGGGATAGAGAAGATTAATAGACCATTTTAAAGGATTTAATTCAGCAGAAAGATATAACAATTCCAAATTGTACACTCCTAATAAAATAATCTCAACATACACAAGAAAACAATAGAATCATAGGAAGAAATGCCATTTTGATGGACAGTCAAATGTTTTTCTCAGTTTTTAAATATCTTTCTCAATTATTAAGAGATCTCTACAATGAAAACTATAAAATACTGATGAAAGGAAATGGAGAAGACAACAAAAAATGGAAAGGCTTACTGTGCTCACGGATTGGAAGAACATTCTTAAACATGTTCATACAAGCCAAAGTGATGTACAGATTCACTGCAGTCTCTATCAAAACACCAGTGACTTCACAGAACTAGAAAAAAACAGGGCCGGAGTGTGGCTCAAGTGGTAGAGCATCTACTTTGTAAGCACGCAAACCCTGAGATCAAACCCCAGTGCCACCAAAAAATTAAATAAAGAACTAGAAAAAAATGATCCTTGTCAGGTATGGAGGTGCACACCTATAATTTCAGCACTCTGGGAGGTAGAGGCATGAGGATCGTGAGTTCAAGGCCAGCCTGAGCTACATAGAAATCCTGCCTCAAAAGAAAAAATATTCTAAAATTTGCACGGAATCATAAAAACCCTAAATAACCAAACCAGCAAAAAGAGCAAAGAAGGAAGCACTGTACTCCCTGACTTTAAAATATACTACAAAGCTATAGTAATCAATGCAGTACTGGCATTAAAATAGAAACAGACCAATAGAACAGAATAGAGAGCCTAGGAATAAACCCACACATCTACAGTTAACCAATTTTTGACACTGGTGCTAGGAGCATTCATTGGAGAAAGGATAATCTTTTTTAGTAAATGGTGCTGGAGAAATTGGATATCCACATGCAGAAGAACGAAACTAGACCCTTACCGCTCACTAGTTACAAAAATCAACTCAAAATTAAAGACAAATTTGAGACTTGAAACTAGTAAAAGAAAACATAGAGGAAGTACTCCCAAACCTTAGAATGGGAAAACATTTTTGAATAAGACCCCAAAAGCACAGAAAGCAAAAGCAAAAATAGTTGGGCATAGTGATACACAACTGTAATCCCAACACTTAGGAGCCTAGGCAATAGGACCACAAGTTTGAGGCTACTTCAGAACTTTACCACTGAGCGGCCTGGGGTTCCTTTGTTCTACTCTGATGGATGTCATGAGTAGTTGAGGATTAGCTCAAGTGCTGGGCATGTTGTGCTAGGCTAACAGATCCAGGGACTTGCTCCAAGCCCTGAGAACTAGAAATCTGCGGTTCCAGGTCTTAGAAGCCAGAGACATAGTTCTAGGTGCTTAGGTTAGAGGCTTACTGCCCTGGGTTCTAATCGTTAGTGGCCCAGTACTCAACAACGAATGAAATCCTTAGCTCTAAGCAGCAGTTAGTGACAACAGCAGTTGACAGTAGCAGAAGGTGCCTGGTAATGTTACAGCTTCTGGGTGGGCCTCAGGTGTTGGAATCTTTGGCTCCTACAGTGGCTAGTGTTACAGCTCTGAGGCCTAGGGTGACAGGACCCTTGACCCTTGACAGTGGCTAGTGTTACAGCTCTCAGGCCTAGGGTGTTGGGATCTTTAACCCATAATGGTTGGTAGTTCCCTGGAACTCTTCCAGTGACTGGGCTGCAGTTTCTTGTCCCTGACTTTTCACAGCCTTCTGTATTCAATGTTGGCTCTCCACCCTCTGTGGTCTTCTGCATACTTCTGTCCATTTTTGTCCCCATCACCTCTGTCTCTGGCTGCTCCCTGGAGCTCTTCAGCCACCCTCTTACCACTTACTGCTGTTGCTGGTACTGCGATTGAGGCAGTTGTGCGGTACTGAGATGTGAAGCAGTTTCTGTCACTGCCACTGCTGCTCCCACGGCCACTCTGCTGCTGCTACTCTTCATGTTGTCATTTCAGCCAGATCTACTTATGATAATAATCACAAGTAGGGGAGGGGTGCTTGGGAGAAGCCTTTTATTGAGCCTTATATTGCAACACTAAGGGGAAGCACAGAAAAGTGTCTCCTAGCTGACTTGAAAAGTAAGGCAAACAGGCTACTTACATAGCCAGAAAAAGGGATGTGGTACCGGTTTGTATAAAGGACTGCGCTTTTACCAATCACAGGACTTCTGCTGGGGCACAGAGAAAGTGCTCCCCTTCCTGGGCTGGGTGAAAATGGCTGCTACAGTTCACTGGTACTTGTGATGGATGGCCAAAAGGTCCAGTTCAAGTTGTATGAAACAGTTGTGGTTGTGATAGTGCTTTCTGGAACTGCAGCTTTGCTTCAGCAGCAAATGACTATGGTTACACATAGCTTTTTCTTTTTTTCATTTTTTTTTCTATTATAAATACTTTATTTCGATAGAAGGTACAATCTCTCAGGGGCTTCATAATTTAAAAAGCTACAATCACATCAGGTTTAAACTACATTAAAAAAAACAGTGCTGTAAATGGAACTGCTTGGCTTTGACCATATACATTTCTGCACAGCCCTTATGGAATCTGCACAAAGAATATCTTCTCCTTTTGCTCCTCTTAATTGTTCTTGTATGTAAGTTGCTTTCTATTCCAGTATATCCAGAGTGGTGAAATAACAAGGCCAGCCATGTAGCCAAAGGTCACTCCCAGTGTACAGGAGATGGGCCATACCTGCCACTGTCTTTCCCAATCCAGTGGAATAGGAAGTGCTCCAAGCCATGCTCCTACAAAACTAGAAATGGTTGTGATCTGGAAACTGTTCTCCCAAATCGATGTAACTCCATTTCTACTGAAAACTCTCAGCCATGCTTTGAGGTTTGGTCCTAACAAACATAAACAAGGTATAGTAGTGAAAGTAGACAAAATAACTGCAAATAAAAAAGTTTCCAATGCCAACTCTATCAGTGGTGCTCCATATAGAACAAAAATCACATGAAGGGAGACAGAAGACATAAAAAAGTAGATACAGCATTTCAAAAATCTGGTTACCTTATATGAAAATGAACTTCTTCTAGAGGATACATTTGGTTTCACTACTAAACACAACAGGAGATTGACAGTGGTTACAAAAACAGAGCAGATGCACAACCACACCAAATGTGTTTCCAATATTGAGAAGCTCTCCAAGAAGAATGACAGAATGGAGACGCTTAGGATAACTGAAAATACGCATAAAAGATGAGTGTACAGAAGTCCCTTGATATCAGTATCTTTCATGGTGTTTCGATGGCTATCTAACTTTCCCGCCCGCGGAAGGGAAAGGGGGGGCTACTGCCTCCCACTATCAGGCGCTGCCGGCTGCCATGGTCCTCGCGCAGGCGCATGCCCGGTGGGCGGACACACACGACCGAACACACACATAGCTTTTTCAAGACATCCATTCAGTTTTCAAAGTAGTCAGACTGGCGTGAGGACAGTCTGGCTGACTGGCTGGCCAGTCCTCTGCTCAAAGCAGCCAGAGCAAGCAGGGACGAGTCTAACAACTGTCAACTGGGAGTCAAATGGCCCCAACTCCAATATCTTATCTTATTTAAAAGAAAATAAAATACTGCCTCCTCCCAAAATAATAAATAAAAATTACAAGGGGGTGCTTACAGCAAAAGTCTATCATTAACATTACAAAGATTTAATAGTATTTATCAATGCTTTACTCTTTCTTTTTTTGGTGGAACTGGGATTTGGACTCAGAACTGTGTGCTTGGTAGGCAGGCACTCTGCCATTTAAGTCACATCACCAGACTTCTTATGCTTTTTAGTTATTTTTCAGGTCAGGTTTCCATTGTTGCCTGGGGTTGGCCTGAAGCCTCAATCCTCCTACCTACAACCTCTCACAGATGAGTACCACCATGCCTGGCTTATTGGCCTAGATGGGATCTCACTAACTTTTACATGGGGCTTGCCTTGAACCCATGATCCTCCTGATCTCTGCCTGCCGAGTATTTAGGATTACAGACATGAGCCACCAGTGCCCAGATGAATTTGAATTTTATTTTTTCAGGCATAGAGGAACCATTGAAGGTTTTTATTTTTAATTTTATTTTTAGTGTCCTATTATTGTTGTACTGGGGGTACATTGTGACATTTATAAAAGTGCATGCAAAATATCTTAGTTAAATTCCCTCCTATCATTCTTCTTTATCCTCCTTCCCCCCACTGAGGGTTTTTGAGGAGATAAATATTTTGGAGGGCAAGAGGCATATTTTATTGTGTATCCCACTGACTAACTGGAGTGTGGTAAGCTCCAGGAGTCCGTCCCATTCATTGGACAGTGTGTCCCAGATAGGGGGGAGGGCTGCTACATTATAGGTGTTTAATATACTTACATGAGTAAATTAATATCTTTATCAGTGCCTGGCATATGTGTATGCACCATTCAAGGAAAGTAAATTATCAAAGCCATACTTTGGAAGATAACCGGCAAGAATATGTAAAAGGTTTTTGGAGATATAAAATGACATACAATATAAAGCAAAAACAGTAGGGAGCAGTCTCAAAAGGAAACAAGGGCTAAGGTAACTGAGAAACAGAAAGGAAAAAATGGATGTGAGATTGCGGAAGGAAATTGAATGGACATGTAGGGCCTACAGATGTAGCTTAGTGGCAGGGTGCTTACTTAGCATACACAAGCCCTAGGCTTCAATCCCCAGCACTGCAAAAATAAAGAAAGAAAGAAAGAAAAAAGAAAAGAACATAATGATAAAGAAGAAATGATAAAGAAATTCTGGGGATTCAATTTGGAAAACTGAAAGAAAAATGTCACTCATAAAATTTTTTATTTTGTATTGGATATTTTTAAGATAGGGTCTTGCTTTAAGCCTGGCTGACCTGGAACTTCAACCATCCTATTTGTGCTTCCCTTCTTAGTTGGGATGACAGGTGTGCATCACCATGCCCAGACACTGATTGAGATGGGGTCTTGCATGAGTTTTTTCTTTTTTGTCTGGCTGGCCTCAACCCTCAATCCTCTTGATCATCACCTTCTTAGTAGCTGGGATTACAGGTTTGAAGCATTGTGCCTGGGTTCACTGGCACAGTGGTTCTTACTATTTTAGGAATAGCAGATATGAAGATATTTTAGGAATAGCAGATAGGGACTATGATGAATTCAGTTTGGGGTAGGTTAAACTTAAAGTTACTGACACAACATGCTTAGGAGGCAGATAGCAGGACTAGAATTTAGGAGAAAACAAGATCTTTGGAGTTGTGAGTCACCCAAAGATAGGATAATTAAAATCACAGTAGATGAAAAGACTCAAGGAGAATTCGAGCCAGTAGAGTGTTGGCATGTAAGGTGAAAGAAAAGGAGATGTAGAGGTAATAGTTATAAGTAGGAAAACCTGAAGAATGTAGGGTTACAGAGTTGAAGAGACAAGAGAATTTGAAGGAGGGAATTTGCCAGCAGCTAACATATACTACACAGAGATGGAAAACCTCCAATATTTGGAAATTGGGAAGCAATGGGTCACTTTTGATTCTCTTTCTCCTTATCTAATTATATCTGAATTCCTGAACTTTATATCAAAGCTCCTCTAGTTCAGACTTCTCACTCATACCTGTCAAATTCCAACTACTTTTGATCCTGCTAGGCTCATATCTTTCCTTCTTCCCCTTCCAAAAGTAAAATATATTCTTATGGAGGGGGACAAGGAGGCAGAGAAAAAAGCTGATGTTGATTTGGTTCTAAGTATGCCATTAATATTCTTGACTCTTATTTTTTTTGACTCTTATTTTTATATGCAGGGATCTAAGTTTTATAGGGCTTGAAGTTTATAAATCTTTTCTTAAGAAACAAAAATACAAGATTTTGAATACAAAATTAAGTAATTTTTTTAAATGGAAAAAAGTCAACAAATTATTGGAGGCTTGGATATTCAGTTTCCCTTTTTCAAGATCTCTTAGGCAAAAATAGCTTTTCTTGACGGATACACTATCAAAAAAATGGCACAGTTCCAAAATTTGTTTTCCATTCATCTTTTTTTTTTCATGGTACTGAGCATTGAACTCAGGGTTTCACACTTGCTAGGCAGGTACTCTACCACTTGAGCCACTCCACCAGTCCCAAAAGAGAAGACCTGTTCTAATTTTTTTTCCCTTAGTGGTTTTTAAGGTTTTGTCTGAGACAAGTAAGTAGCAGCACTGCTCAGGACTAGAGTGGGGGAGCAGAAGGTGGGATATGAATCTATTGGTTTAAATTAAATTTGGTTCTGCTGAAGTAAATAACAAAATAACAGCATTTATGAATCTTCAGTAAGTCAGTTCCACTTTGACTTCTTCCTTTTTATGTGCTCTTTTCCCACATCACTTCATTCTCCCTACTTGCAGTACCCTACCAACTTTTATTTTTTGGTACTGGAGTTTGAACTCAGGGCCTACACCTTGAGCTACTCCATCAGCCCTTTTTTTGTGATGGGTTTTTCGAGATAGGGTCTTGCAAACTATTTGTACAGGCTGACTTTGAACTGAAATCCTCCTGATCTCTGCCTCCTGAGTATTATAGGTGTGAGCCACTGGTACCTAGCTCCTTACCATTCTTGAAAACCAAAAGGCCCAAAACTTACTAAGGTCCAGCTTTTCTCTCCTGGACATGTTTATTCTGAAGGAAAAGGTAATGGTAAAGAAACACAATAATGAAGTCACAATCTTTAAAACAACAACAACAAAAACAGTCTCTGCCTAACAGGACCATTGAGTGGTTCCCCCAACTTTGCCTCCAAAAGAGCCTATGTCCAAGACAATTATCCCCTCTCAAATGAAAGTTTCACTTTTCCAAAAAAGTGCTAACAAAACAAAGCTCTTCACTTCCCCCAGTCATTTCCCCCATATTTCCCAAGCTCACAGGAAGGTGCTAATAAACTCAGAATTGTTGGAATTTCTCCCAGGGAAATTCACCAGAAAGGCAACATGGGTTGTTATTTACCTTTTGAGAGAGCTATCTGAGGATGGATTTGGCTGTTGCCAGGGCAGTCTCTCCTATTCAAGCACATCTCTTGGCAGCCGCTCCTCTCTTTTATCAACCCCCTTTTATAAAAGGAGAGTGGTTGGTAGCTCTCTGCCTTTTCACTCCCACACTGAACTAAGAAGCTTCATGAATAGTTCAAGTAAAACAGGATCAAGTTTCAGACACTCTCATAGTGAGTGAGAAAATGATCCCACTAGATTAAATTGGAGCCTAGATCAGTGGAGGAAATATTTCCACAGCTCTGCCAGGGCTGGGGCAGCCAAGGTTAATAGCTAAGGTAATACCTTCAAAGTAGGATCATGTGGGTGGTAGATGATGGGTCAGTGGCCAGCATTTTGATCTATGCAATGGGTCTCTGGATTATCACCCTTACTTGGGAATTTGTTAGAAATGCAAATTTGTAGGACTCAAACTCATCCTTAATAAGAAATTCTCAGGGTGTTGGCATCTGTTTTTTCTGATGGCACTGGGGTTTGAACTCAGAGCCTCACACTTGCTAGGGAGTCATTCTTAATACTTGAGTCACTCTACCAGCTCTTTTTTTGTGATCAGTTTTAGATTTAGAGATAGGGTCTCAAGAACTATTTGCCTAAGGCCAGCTTTGACCAATAATCTCTGCCTCCTTATTGGCTAAGATTACAGGCTTGAGCCACCAGTACCTGGTAGCATCTGGATTTTAACCAACTAGCTCCTCTAGGTGATTTTGATGTACAGTCGGATTTGAGAACCACTTGTCAACAAGATCAGTGAAGGTTTAAAATCTTTTTTACTTTTCCTCAAAAGAATTTATTTGGAACATTAGGATTAGAAAAGTCAAAATGATTCCATCTAGCTTACTTATTGTACATGTTCACAGATATCGCCAATGCAAACTTTACTACTATTTCCTCAAGAGTTTCATTTGGCTCATCAAAACACTTCAATAGGACATCTATCATGTATGAATATGTGGTTATAAATATATATATAATGTATTTGAAGAGAAATACTCCGGGGCTTCAAGATTAAGGCACTTGATGGCTTATATTATACCATGTGCGTATTATGTACTCACAGCTTATTTTTTGCAAGTAGATAATTTTTCAAAAATATTATCACTCTTGAAAAAGTAACTCATGAAAGATGTGGGATATTTAATGTTTACTGAATGCCTACATGTGACAATCACTGTTCAAGATGCTGAAGACAGAAAGGAGAATGTGGTGTAGTCCTTATTCTCAAACTTTTATTTCCCTGAAATAATAATAAATACAGAAATTTAAAATATTTCTAGTTTCCAAGTTTTTCTTGCCCTTGACCATACCATCTCAATTGTTTGGAAGAGTTAAGACAAGATAAATATCTATTTCCTTCTGGAGTAGGGAAAACTAGGCTTAAGGGCTCATCACAGCAG